CTGAGTTTCTTGTTATTCCAAAGTTCAAATGGTATTTGTCCTTTCTTCTTAGGAGGTATCCTATAGTACAAGTAACAAGGTGTTATAATTGCTTCCCACCAAAAGTTTAAAGGTATAGCTAAACTAATTTACATAGCATTCCTCATTTCCTTTAATGTTTTGTTAAGTCTTTCTGCAACTCAATTAGATTTAGATTGATAAGAAGTTGTGATTTCATGTATAATTCCATTTTCTTTAAAGAATTTTCTAATGAGTTTTTTATCATACTCGATCTCTTTATCTGTTCTAAGTCTTTTTATTTTCTTTCTTACATGATTTTCTACTTCAGTCTTGTAAGTTATAAAAACTTGTTTAGCCTCATCCTTTCATCTAAGTAAAACAACTTTTGCATATGTAGAGAAGTCATGTATGAAGGTTATATGATATCTTTTTCCTCCGCTAGCTTCATGAAACTTAAGATCCCCCCAAATCATTGTGTACAAGTTACAGTAATCCGGTTTCTCTTTCTACACTTGTATGAGGCTTTTTAGTAAATTTTGCTTCTACACATGCTTGGCATTTTTCACTTGTAAAATTTATAGGAACATTCAAAACTCCTAATTTGCATAATCTCTTTAAATAAGGAGCACTACAATGTCATAGGCTAGCATGCCAAATATCAAAAGATTCAACAATATAAGCAGAAGAAGCAATCTTATTCATAATAATATCAGAAATACTAAGTACAAATAGTCCACCAATATTTTATCTTTTTTCAGCAAATACATTGTTTTTAATCAACATAGCCTTGTCTGCTTCAAATATGAGCTTTAGTTCTACTTTGTTGAGGAGTGCACCTGACATCAAATTTTGTTTGATCTCTGGTACATGCAACACATCATTCATCATTAGGATCTTTCCCAAAGCCAGTTTCAGGAGCACCTTTCTCTTGCTGATGACCTTCAAAGTCTGTAAGTTTTCCATGGAGACTTGTTTTCTTTTAGTTTGAGTTGTATACTCATAAAAGGAGCAACAGTCCCCACATATGTGCTTAGTAGCACCGATGTCCAATACCCACTCCTTCGGTTTATCAATCAAGTTAGCCTCGGTTACCATGGCTGCAATGACATCATCAATCAAGTTGACATTTGGTTTTTCAGAGTCTTTATTCTTTTAGTGATGACAATATTTCTTGTAATGCTCGAGTTTATCACATACATAGCATTTTCCTTTCTTTTGTTGTCTTAAAATTTTGATCATGTTTCACATTCAAACTCTTTTTGAATTTTGTAGTAATTTCCTCCACCAGATTGGTTTTGGAAATATGAACTTCATCATTCTTTTTATTCTTTTCTTCTATTTTGATTTGAACCACTACTTGATCCAAAGTAGTGTCCTTTCTCTTGTGCTTCATACTAGTTTTGAAATCACCCTATGCATGTGGAAAATTCTCTATGAGAGAATCGGTTACAAATTCATTTGAAAGTATCATTCCTTCTTTAGCTAGTTCCCCCACAAGTACCTGAAACCCATCTATTTGGGTAGACACGTCTATGTCTTCTTTCATGGTAAAATGCAGGAAATTGACTATCACATTTTTTTTTTATTTCAGACATTTTTCTAGAGCATATTTGTTGTCTAAAGCATTCCAAATTTCGTAGAAAAAGTTGTAGGAATAGCAGACATTGTACGGTTCATTGGACATGCAATTTAGGATATGGTTCTTACAAAGGTGGTCATCAGTGAGCCAGTGTTGTGTAGAGGTGGTCAACAGTAAGACATTGTATAGTTCTTTGGACAGGCATTTCAGGATATAGAATGCTTTCAGTCACCCAAACAAACATAGAGATGTTTATTCACAGGCAAAGAGATGTATCTCTCTAGAACAAGCTCCGGTTCAAATAGACACAACCAAAAGAGAAAGAAACGTTTAAAAATAAAATTAAATTTAAGTTCAAAAGTTCAAACCAAATGGACAAAGAATTCAGGATATGGAGTGCTTTGAGTGACCCAAATAGACCCAGAGATGTTTGTTCACAGACAGAGAGATGTGTTTTTCCAACACTCTATTCATAGAGTGCTTTCAGTCACTCGAACAGACACAACACCTGTGCCCTCGCATTGACCTGATCCGGCCTGGCTCAGCACACACATGTGTAAAAAGCACCCACATTCCCCCCACATGCATGTAAACATCTATAGTTCTTTCCTTCTATAGGTCCTTACCCATAAAGGGAGAACAAGTCTAGATATATACTCAAACCCAACTCCTTTTCCAAGCAATGTGGGATAAGAAGTCTCCCATACATTCAAGAGGAGAGAAGAAAAAGACAAAAGACAAAAACACAAGGGAGAGAAGAAGATTCTTGAAATTTTGAATCTCCCTCCAACACCTTTTAAGCCAAAATTAGCTATAGATTTGATTATATTTTGGGAATGGACAAATTGAGATCTGATTTTGCATCTGGGTGTGCTATAAACAAACATAAACGAGATTGAAACAAGTAATATGCAGAAGCAAGAAACCACGCTTTCTATGTATAATATGGTTTTAAAAATAGAGAAAGATACAGAGCATTCTTAACCAATTACAATTTATTTATATATCAATGAATGTCATCTTTCTGTCTAGGTCCAACTATTTATCTATCATCAAGTCAAATGACGGCAATTTTTTAGGTACAAATAGAACTGTATCTTCACTCTGGATCGTTCTCTTGCAGGTTTGATGGAGACGCAAACTATTTCATAAAGCCTGTCTTACCTCTTCAGAGTTCAGACGCTTTGAAAATTTCTTTTGTGTACCCTTTTTAGATTAGAACTTAGAACATGATGAGTCGGTTCAGTGTTGTACAGCATATATACTGTTGTAATTTGCCTTTGACGTTTATTTGTTTTTTTTTTCTTCTTATTTAAACTTTGAAGATGGCTCTTTGCTTCCATATATGGGTCTCCCCTCTTTCAATGAATTTGTCATCATCACACAAACCTTATACCGATTATATGGGTTGGCTACATGAATCCTCACGTTTCATTAATTATAAATGGCATATCCTATGTATACTTGGACCCATGTCCTTTTTATCTATCTCCAACCCTTCTAATTTCTTCAATTCGTGACAAATCACTTCCTATAGTTTCTCCAACCCTTCTGATATATTTTCTTTCATTTTATCATCTATTGGAATTATTTTTTAGGTTTCTTCAAGTGATTTCATTGCTAATCCTATTCTTTTTAGTTTTTTCATTCTCCATCTTATACACGTTTGTGCCACCAATATCTTTAATATAGTTAATTTGCCTAGGCTGGTCCCATGTTTTTCATTCTCCATCTCATTCTCCATCTTATATGGCTGGTCCCATGTTTTGTAATTTACAGTAAATTTGCCTAGGCTCAATTTGGAAAGAGTGCAAATACAAATGCATACAGTACAAATACAATGTTTAAAAATAGTGTATGAAAGGTTTTGCACTATACATATTTGTACAGTACAAATACAAGGCACACCCTCAGTTTAAACATTTTACTGTACAAAAACAATGTTTAAAAATACTGTATATAAAGTTTTGTATGTACTGTACATATTCGTGTTTGCACTCAGTTTTGAAAGAGTGCAAATACAACTCTGATTTTCTCTTGTAGGAGAAAATTAGGCTCAGTTTGGAAAGAGTAAAAATATAAATATGTAGAGTGCAAGATCTTGTATTTTATATTATTTTTGTATGTATTTGTATTGTACATATTCGTATTTGTACTCCTTCCAAACTGAACCCTATAATTACTTTGATCCAACCATTGGTGTTGCAAAACCAAATTAAAACAACTTGCAACCCACATATAACCAAGCTTAAATAGTGTAACTTTTCTTGGATACTACTGTCAAAATCAATAAAATCTTTTAAAACTTTCGTTGATCTAAAATGCTCATGAATTTGTAGTCCTATATTTTTTTAGAAGGCTAAATTTGTAATCCTATATACTGAAGTTTTTTTTTTTTACCAATGAAATTTAATATATACTACGAAAACATGATCAACCATAAAATTGAATCCTTTTTTAATTTATGGTCAGAAAACATGTATGGAATTCCTTGAAAAATAAATCAACAATCCGGATTGGTTGAACATTGGTCCACAGCTTATTAGTTTCAACAATTTTACATTGTGCAAAAGTACTACATACTGAATATCGTTTAGGAAATATTGGAAGACGAGGTCTCAAAAAACAGAGCTGATTTGATTACGAGACAAATTTGCTGCTACTTATGTATGATTAAAATAACAGAAAGGGAACAAAATGATTAAAATCATCTTTTAAATAAAGAAAATTTTTACTTTTACCTTAACACCCATTAGAACTTAGAGGAGCTCTAAACAGAATGGAGTGGCGAAAAAAGCCAACCCCATATAGTTGGAATTAGATGATAATCACGATGACCTAATACCACTATTTTTTTTTTTTTTATAATTAAGCCTGATGTCATGAAGTATAGTCTGTAACCGTCTCTAACTAATTTTCATGGAAGCTTTTGAATTAAGAATTGAGGGACTGCGGTTTTGCCTTTCATTAATTATTGATATCGATCTTTGTGTCATTCTGGAATTAATTCAAACTACATATACAAGACCCCAGATAGCATAACTGGGTGATCAGCATTTGGTAATGGCATTCGGAATAGCTACAGAACTAATAAAGTAGCTAATAGTATATTGACATCTAAGTCATGCTGATAACCTGCTGGAGCTACAACTCATGTGTCAAGTTCAAAGCATTTATTGTTTTATTTCTGGTGACATGACATGATAGCTAGGGAAGAAAAGGCAAAGCCCTAATCATGGAAAGTTGGAAAATATGTAAATTTTCTTCCTTAATCAAGCAAAGCAACAGTCTTCTCAGAACTGTATAAATATCAGAAATTTTGGATGACACAGTAGCTGGCTAGAGGTCGAATTCCATCGTGCGAGGTTATTGTTGATTCTTTAGTTCTACTTCATCACATTGTACAGATCGATGATCTCATCTAAACATGTGTTGGCGTAGAGATGGGTGGCGTTGGTGCAGAAGCAATGGCTCTTTTGCCACGCTCCGATCGACTGTTCTCTGCAAACTTGAAGCTCCCTTCATGCAAGCACTTCTGCTTCTCCTCCTCAGTCCATTCGGATCCATAGTAGTACTCTTCTTTGGACTTCTCAGCGTCGGTCGATGCAGGCAAGAACATGCTTCCCCACTGGGGGAAGTGAACTAGAGTCACCGGCAGAGTGCAGGCTACAATCATAACCCCCATGAGAGATATCCCTGTTGCAGTAGAGTACCTCGAGCTTGTGAAGAACAACAACTGGGTCAGCCCTGAGCCGAAGTTCCCACCGGCACCGGTGAGGCCAGATATTATTCCCAGAGACCGCCTGGAAATGAATGGGATGATACCGAAGGTTGCACCACAGGCAGACTGAGCACCTATGGAGAAAAGAATCATTGCCATTATGGAGATAGGAAGCGAATTAGCTCGACCCGGCCAGATGCAGAAGACCCCTCCGAGAGTCTGCAGGATCCAGAGGTTCCATAGCCTACCCCTCATGCCAAACCTACGCGCAGCTACGTCGGACATGTATCCACCGAAGGGGCGAGCAGCGAAATTGGCCATGCCAAACGCAGCAGCAATGATGCCCGCAGTGTGGAGCTTGAGATCAAATCTGATACAACGAATCAAAGCAGTTTCATTAAATTGATTGTCAATATTGAACTCATCTATCCTCCACCTGTTCAACTGATCATGCATCCACAGAAAAATATGATATTAATGAATTGGGTATTGAGAGATGATGATGAATTAACCTGTCATGGCATACCAAAGCACCTGAACCAGAGGAAAAACGAAATGTCATGGCTTCTTAGAAAAGAGCATTTCGCAGCATTCATCAAGTCTCTGAGTCTGTTAATTAATAAGCCAACCATGTTCATGTAGTCTACCTTAGAGAACTTGTCTATGGAAACTTCTCCCTTCTTCTGAAGGCTTCCAAGGTTTCCATCTGGCAAATCTTGGCCAAGGGTCAAGACCAAGATTCCCATGACAATATGCAGAACTCCGGGGATGAAGAAGGCGATCCGCCATGCGGTGAATGGGGTGGTGCCGGTGCGGCGGATTACGTCGTAAAGCAAGGACATTAGGAGCTGAGTAGCCCCACCACCCATGTTCCCCCACCCGGCAGCAGTGCCGTTGACAAGCCCGATTATCTTGCCGCTGAACATGGTGCTCATCCAGTACTGGCACGACACGAATGTTGCAAGGGAGAAACCTATCATGAACCGGACGGCGACATACCCGCCGGCGGACGACACAATGGACATACAGAACACAGCGGGAGCAGCAAGCATGATGAGGAAAGCACACCCATAACGCGGGCCTAGTAGGTCACACACAGCGCCCATGACAAGCCTGGAGAAGATACTCCCGGAGACGGAGGCAATTCCGGCATTGCCGACATCACCCTTGGTCAGGTTGAGGTTGTCGCGTATTATGGGTACCAGCGGAGCGGCGGCAAAGGTGGAGACGAAGCAGGTGAAGAAAGAGATCCAGGAGAGGTGGAAGGTCCTCATATGGGGATTGGCAAATGAGAAGATCTTAAAGACCTTGGCCTTGTGCTCGGAGTCCACTGGTAAGGCGAATCCTGCGGTTGTATCTGTTGGGACAATGGGCGTGGCCACGGAGAAGGCAAAGCTCTGTTCTCTGCCCGTCACTCCGTGCATGGAGCTTCCAGGCTCACCTTGCATCTCTACCGTTTCTTAGCTACATTCTCAAACACACACACACACACTCGATCACAGAGAAAGAAGGCGAAAGAGTGCATGAGCGTGGAATGTGGAGAGAATTACAGTAAGGAAAAAGGATGGAAGATTGCTTGATATGGAAGAGGAAGTTGTGAAGGTGGTTTATTTATATGAGGAGGGCGTTGACATTGGAATTTGGAAGAGGCGATTGGGAAATTCCAATAGTCGTATTTGTTAGAAGGAACTCGGAAGTTGGAGCACACACATACAGAGAGAGAAGATACAAAAACAGAATCCTCGGCGCCACGTCTCAGGGCTTCAGTCTCGTCTCATCGTATATCCCAAAGGATGGATCATTTTGCCACGTAAGAACAGTGGTACTGTAGTGGGGGCCATTGCCATTCTTTATATACAATTACCAAAATACCCTACATGTTCACGTGTCATTCAATTCATTAGGGCTGCATGCAAGTGAAATGGATCGATCCCATAAATTCAAATTTGACCCATTAGTAGTATTTGGAAACTTGAATCAAATCTTATCTGTTGGATTAAACCATTTACACCTCTGAGCAAGTGAGTATTGAAGTCTAGTATCTGGTTCAGGTCCCTTAGCCTCTTCACCATAACACAAAAAGTCAAAAACCCTTTCTCCCATTAGCTCTTCCAATAGCTGAGGCGTGGTTTCAAAGCAAAAGTGGTGTAATGTCCTAAATCTTCCTTTTATTTATTTAACATTTAGGTAGATTCAAAAAAACAGGTAAGGTCTCTAGCTAGATGTAGCGGAGATTTGGATCGAATCCTGCCTGTAATAAGATGTAGGGGTTTATCGGTTTATGGGTTTGGATTTCGGAGAATGGATTTTGTCCTATAAAAAAAAACTGATATCATACGATACGATATACATCAATACAAATAATATTTTGAACATCATTATAGTTATTCCTTTACAATATTTCTCAAGCCCAAGCTTAATTTTTAGGGCAATTTTTTTAAACTTTTTCTATTAAATATAACTATTGTTTTAAACTATCCCTACTATTTATGATAATTGACACTGTTATCAAGTGCTAACGAAAAAAAATGGAATGTAAAATTTGTTTTCAACTATTTTTCAAATTTTCAAAATAAAACCCATGTTTCAGGATCGCTGCTCTATCTCCATTTCCATCTCTAGCTAATGGGAAACAGATTCCCGGCAACTACAAATGGAGAGAGAACCCCTGGCTAAGCCCCGGCAAGAAACTATTCCCACTCTCTTCAATGCCTCTCTTGCTGGGATTTCTGGCATTTAGATTGAGAGCCCAACCTGAAAGGACCTCTGGCTAAGTCCGACTCCTGAGAGCCCAATCTGTGGACTAACTGAATTGTTTGTAATTTACAATCCAAATACATATTGGATGTATCAACAGGAGGATCAGTCATTGCAATTTTTGTAACAGTGCCAAGGAAGAATAATAATCATTCCATTTGATCTTAAAAAGATTCACACTTTCTGAAACTTCACTAATAGTGACAATCCTTAACATATCTGGAGCCCCATTTCTTAAAGAGAGAGCAACATCGATTGCTTCTAAGGAATCACATGGCACAAGAGCCTCAAGAAACATTGAAACCAAACATGTAAGTCCATTGTACGCAGCTTTCCCATGCACTTCTGCTTCAATAGGAACAACCAATGTATCAATCCTATCCATTGAAGAACCCTGCAAGCTGCAAACAAAGAGAACCAAAAATTTTTCCTTCTATAGTGGATGAGAAATCTATCTCCCTGACAGCTTTAGTGCTTTGATCGAGGATCAATCTCCCATTTGTCATGGGGCCTATTTCCCACCTGTAGTAGACCAGCTTGACCATTCTTAATCTTCAACAATTCCTTAACATTCAAAAATGAATTCAACTTATCAGAAGCCCCAAAACTGTCCAGTTTACAAGAAGCCTTTGCGGAGTTTCAATCTGGGTTCGTTCGACCATTCAAGCATCTGAACCAGAATACCAAATTTGGGGTTTGGGGCTTGGGTGGGTTGTCAGAACTGCTGGTGATGCTGCTGCCTTTTAAAATAGGGTTTAATGTCTCGAAGCACACAAGCACACTTTGTTGCCAGGTTTTCTGAACGATCCGTGCGTCTCCTTCAATGTTCATTGTTGATGAACACGAAACCACCAATGTCACCGAAGGTTGTTATTTTAAGATTTCTTCTTTTGGTTTCTTCTTTGAATCAACAAGCTCCATTTTGAGACCATCTATTCAGTGGTTCAAGAAGGTGAACATGGGAGGTCTATTGTAGTCATGGTATTTAAAACCAACCCGGAGACCAAATTGGTCAGGGGTCCGGTTACCAGGTCGAACGGTTGGCCCATTTTGACAAAAAAAATTTAAAGAAAATCAATGGTTTTTAAAGAAAATCCGGTTTTGAGAAAATCAAAACCGGTCACCTGATCGATTCCCATTTTTTCTGGTCCGACCACCTAGTCCGGTCCAATTTTGAAAACCATGATTGTAGCAGTGGAGAGAGAAGAAGAAAAAGGGAGGGAAGACAGAGTGAGAGATATAGAGAGAGAGAGGGAAAGAGGAGAGGCGAAAAGGGAAAAGATAGAAGCATCCCACTGCAAGAAGTTACAAAAGTGGAGGTATTTTGACTCAAACGAAAAACATAGAAGCACCCCCAGTCTGATCGATCTCCTTGCATCTGCTTGCTCACTGGCTCCAACCCCGGTCTGATGTCAAACCCCAGTTGTGATTGCGGGACCTGTAGCTGGCACCGGCGTTCAGCCTGAAAATAATCGATTTGGGGGTCGAAGCCGTAGTGTCTAAAATGTTGAAGCTTTGGCATCAGAAATATCAGAGACTTACATAAGTGGGACGAAGGGTAATATTGAAATTTAAAAAAAGTATACGTCACGTGGTATCACATGTGTACGAATTTTGACATAACATTAATGGATACTAACGATAGGGGTAGAATTAGTCAATTGTCAAAAATAATAGAACTAATTTAAGACAATAATTAAACAATAAAAATACAGTTTGTTAATTAACTAAATAGTAAGAATAGTTTAAGAAATTTGGCCTAATTTTTTATTGGGTCAAATAACAAAACATCCCTTTCTTACAATCAAATAGCACATGTTAATAAATTAAAATTAGTTAATACGTATACCATAACGATGGTGACAAGAATCATATTGATATCGCCCTTAATTGTTACCCTTTCCATGTATTGAGAGGTTGTTTTTAATAAGATGACGAGACTCGACACATACATGATTACTTGGATTTGTGCTGGGATTTGGTGTAAAAAATAGAAGACGATCGTTTTCAAAAGCTACATACATTCCATATATGTTTAGACTTTAGATTACGTGGTTGTTGGGCTTTAAATTCATCACAAGTAAGAAAAACTTGCAGGGGTCTCTTTTATTTTAATTAAAAACGATGGTTTTTAAAAACGAATCGGTCAGGGGTCCGGTTACCGGTTCGACTTGAACGGCCAGTCCGTTCTAATAAAAAATAAAAATAAATAAAAAATTAGAAAATGATCAAAACCGTTCAAACGGTTAATCGGCTGATTCAACAGTTTGTTAACCAAAATCAACAGTTTTGAGGAAAAAAACAGTTTTAGAGGAAAACGGACCGGTTCCCGGTTTTTCCAGTCCAACCGTCCGGTCTGGTCCGGTTTTAAAAACAGTATTAAAAACTTTTCTTACTAGGACCCAGTCTGTGTTCAGGTTGCTATCTAGCTTAGACAAAAGAGTTGGAATTTTGATTTCTTTTGAACCCAATTGCAACAATACAAATGTATTTTTTTAAGAGTTAGAGTTTCGCATAATGCAAGGGCATCGCTAGCTGCTGGCTCATGAGGAATGGAGGAAACAACCAGCTCAGATAGAAAGAGAGAGAGAGAAAGAGATGGGTTTGTTAACCAAAAAGCATAAAGCATAATGAAGTTGCTCCTATCATGGAACGTTAGAGGTGCAGTTAGCCTCTAATTAGAGGGCAGATTAAGGAGCCTTTGCTCTATCTTTCTAATGGAAACTAGGGTTAATCCATCTTGAGGTGATAAGATAGTCAAATCTTTTGGTCTTTTTTAAGTTGTTTACTGTATGCCCAATAGGCCATGTGGGTGGTCTATAGTGATTTGGATGTAATCAAATACACAGACAGGTTTGTTCTTTGCTATTTTATGTGATAAATATCTAAATATATCACTTTTACAGATGCCTCTCCCAGCAAAAAATGAGCAACCAGTAGTATGGCAGTGGCTAAAAGACATTGGAGGAGCTTGATATGTGATGGGTGACTTAAACAATATTCTATATGTAAAGGACAATCTAGGAGAAGAAGAAAAATAACTCCAAGCCAAACAAAAAGATGTGTGGTAAATGATAAACTATTATGGTCTCATTATACATTATACATGTGGAAATTGAAAACAATATTATTCAAGAAAGTTTTGATAGGTGAGGTAATGGAGATGGGCCTACCCAAAAAAAAATGCTACATTGGAAAACTTACCTATTTTGGCATCGGACTATGCCCTGATTCATTTATTTATTTATTGTAACAAATAATTACTAAAATGAATATAACAAGCCTTTTACATTTGAGGCCATGTGGAGCCTTCAACCTGAAGTGGACATCGCCAATAAGCAAGCTTGGGAAACCACAATAAAAGATTCTAAGGAGTATGGAATTATAATAGCAAAAAAATTGAAAGAATAGAACAAATGTAAGCTTGGTGGCATACACAAGAGAAAGAAAGCACTTATGGAAACTCTGCAACATATCAAAAGGATGCTCCACCCTAGAAAAACAAAAGAAGGGTTTTCTAGAAATAATTAAATAATTTTCTCCCTAAGGAAGAACTTTTCAGGGCCCAACAAGCAAGAAGTAACAGGCTTTGGTGACAAAAATACTAGGGCCCCGTTTGGTTTATGGGAATCGGGTCTGGAATTGGAATTGGAATCGGAATCCTATTTCATTCCTGCTGGAATGGCATTCCCCCATTTGAGGCAATGGTCATTCCTGCCCCTCCCTTGGGAGTGAAACTCTATTCCTATTGATTTTAATTCTCATTACAAACTATGGGAATGGACTATTCCAATTCTGATTTCGGAGGATTTCGAATCCGATTCTGATTCCGATTTCAACTATGAACCAAACGGATCCTACATTCCTTTTTATAACATGGCCATGATTAGAAAAACTATAAACAAAATTACAGGAGTTAAAAGACAATAATGAATGGACCTCTAATATAGAGGAAATTAAACAAATATTTAGACAAAAGTCCAATAAAGATTCAATATATAGGGAATTGATCACAACATTGGCAAATTCATTGAGAATAAATGTCCTACATATCTGGGAATTGGAAAGGAAAGCAAGTCATGAAGAGATCTGAGAATCCCTCAAATCCATGCTAGCGTTCAAAGCATCAGGACCGGATGACTTGAATGTTTTATTTTTCAAAAAAAAAAAAAATACTGGACGGTCATACATGAAACTGTACAAAAAGTTGTCAGAGTTTATTTTTTACTCTACAAAATGATAAGAAAAATTAATAAGACTTTTATAGCCCTAGTTCCCAAAATCTAATCTACTAAAACACCTGTATGCAATGTCATATACACAATAATAACAAAGATATTGATTTAGAGAATTAAATTAATATTAACTAAAAATATCTCCCCATATCAAGGAGTGTTTATGCAAAACAAACAAATAATATATAATATCTTAATTGCATATGAAATCCAAAATACTATGAAACAAAAAAAAAGAAGGAAAATAAGATTGACATGGAAAAAGTATATGATAAACTAGAATGGGAATTTGTTGAAAAATATTAAAATTTGGATTTAATAGGGAATGGGTTGATTGGGTAATGGTATGTACTTTGTGCAGAACCATTAAAATAAAAAGAGCAAGAACTTAAGGGGTGAAAGCCAAAATTAAGGAGGTCCCAAAATCTAAATCCTTGACTTTATTGATGATTGTCTAATATTTTTCACAATTACAATTCCTACATCTGCAAAAATTAAGAACATAATGTGGGAATATGCAAAAACATCTGGACAACTCCCCAATTATGGGAGATTAGCCCTAACATGGTCAAAACATAAATCAAGAAAATTCCAAAAATTATTTGCATGCATTATGCACATACACCTAGAGTCAAGGAATGCATCATTCTTGGGGAACTCCTAGTAAATGGAAGGGTTACTAAACAAACTTTTAACATGACAATAGAGAAAATAAAAAAGAGACTTCTCTCCTTTGTGGACAAGGTCACATTGCTGAAAGCAAAGAAGGGATGATGCCCCAATACCTAATGAGATCATGTAGATTCACAATTAATGACATTGATAAATTACAATAAGGGTTCCTATGAGGAAAGAAATCAAACAAAAGACCAATGGCCCTAGTAAGTTGGAGCCTACCATGTCTAGCTAAACAAAGGGAAGGCATGGATCTTAAGAAAATGGAATGGGTCAATGGTGCAAATATAGCAAAATTGGGATGGAGAATTCGCAATGAAAATGAAAATTTACAGGTGAGAGTAGTTAAAAGCAAATCTCTTAAGAAAAACTTTCTTTGAAGCAAAAAGGAGGAAGATATCTCATGGGCTGGAAGGAAATCCTACACTACCAAATGGGGGAGAAGGAAAATGAGTTGCGCTGCATTTGGCATTCCTTGTTCTAAGGACTTATATCCTTTTTGCTGTTAAAAACTCAGTGTTCATATGGGCATTTTAACTGCAAAAAGGAGACAAGTCCTTAAAATAAGGAATGCCAAATGCAGCCATAGTGTGGGATGATGACCCAAAAGGGTAGTTCTCAATTAAGACTGCCTATAATATATCAAGCGAAGCAATAGAAGAAAGGGCAAACTAGGATAGAGAGATATGAGAATTGAATAAGCATGTGATTTTTGCGGTGATGAGGAAGACCCCCAAGTCATATTATTCATGAGATTTAGCTTTACAAGGCAAATTTAAATGGTGATAAGCTCCATCACCTTGGGGCCCTGGAGTTAGACGAGGATGGGAGAATAGTGGTGTTGTAATAGAACATGAAAAAATTCAAAGACCTATGCTAAAGACTATTGGGAGAAAATTAATTTTAGTAGTCTAAGAGCACAAGATATGCACGTGTTCAATTAAATATTATTCATATATGATATATGGTATTTTGACTTAAATCTTATGACTTGCTCCAAACTAAAACAAATGTCCATTTTATATAATATAGATATATAGAAAAACACTGTAAGTCATTCTAAGAAATTCTTAATATTATAAGCTAACCCAACATTGTGCAAATTTTATACTCAATTGCACTTCCATGCATTTATATTAATGCAAATGAAGTTACACTGCAAACAAATGGTAATTTGCACAATGCTTAATTAGTTTGCTAAGACCATGTTTGGTGAGATGTTTACGTCCATACATCATTTTTCCCGCTACATTTCTTATTTGAGTCATAAATGTAAATGGCAATTCAGTCGTCCGTGACATGAAGGCTCTGTTCCACTCAGTTCTAATCTCTAAGATCATAATCCACTTTCAGTGGTACAGCTTTAATTTAAGGTCTTGAAAGGTCAACACTCAACACCATAGTTGTACTTGGAAAACGAAAATGCAAACTCGACTAAGCAACCCACTGAGTCAAGTCACTTTTAACTTTTAAGGGAAATATGCCAAGACTCGGGTCGAATCACAAATCTGAGTCATCAATTTTATTTATTTTACCACCCCACTCGGCTTGAGTCGAGATTGACACGCCGAGTCATCAACTCATCATTGTAGTGTTGCCGTGTTGGGCGAGTCATACTTGAGCCCCGGGTTTTCCATCAATATTCGTACCTGGCTATTGGAAACTTTACATTTACAGGCTATATAGCCTGGAAAAATATTAAAATAAACTTCATACAAGTACAGAACTACAAAATTTAATGTATTTGACTGGGTAATTCTATTAACCAACATTTTCAGTAATATTCTAAGTAGCAAGTAATCACCATTTTAGCTAATATTTATAGTCAGATGGTGTGCCAGAAGGTTCTTGGATCATAATGGATGAGCCTGCAAGTCGCCTTGGAGAGAATACAAGCATTTGGTAGAGAGATGCGAGCACAGGGAGCCCTATCCTCCCTAGGACCCTAGCTGTGGAAGAAATCATGGAGGCGATCCTTAGAAATAAATTGCAATTCTGGCCTTGTGGTACTACTCCTTGGAAGAACTAAGTATAAGACACAATATGCAGAACTTTAAAGCCCAAGATGATAATGACCTAAGCAGCTGTAAAACAATGAAAAATCTTCACTCCTATCTCCAATGTAAGTTCAATGACAACTCTTCCCACTGTAACAAGGAGAAAATAGACCCTACCTAAAGAAACAAGAATTGCAACTCAAGCACTTGCGCTTCCCCTTCTTTGAATTGGTTTGTAAAGCACAACAGTGACAAATTTTGAACGGAAACGATGCGTTATCCCAAGTGCCACTACTGATCGTGGACTCTCCCTATTCTCTATGTAGAGATGATTGAGAATAACATTTTGAGGCAAAGGAAGGGTAGCAGAAGCATCTCTGCTTGCTGGAAAGCTCAACAAGGTGTGTTGCAAGTGAGGAGGAACAATAGGCGGGTCCCTTGCTTCATCTTCATTCCCAGGGTATGGGTTGTTGTAACTTGAATCGGGTGAGTTGGGAACCTCAAAACCCACAACACTAACTTCCTCCTGCATCAGGGCTAGGAGTGTAATCCATGACATAAAATTCAGGTGATCCAAGTAATCAGGAATACTAGAATCACAAGGTTAATTGCATACCTGATCTTCAGCATACATATTATCCATGTTAATAGAGATGATAACTGGCTAGGAGTACCAAATCATCAATAGTGGATAATTATAGTGTCTATGAGCCTGAAAAGACAACAATTACTCTTGCATAAGTACTCTAAAAATACCAAAAAGGGAATACTAGTTATGACAGAAATTAATCATTAAAAATGTGAAAGGAATTTCTATCACCATTTTTAAATATTTCCTAAATAATTCTTATTCCTAGGCTGGGAAGGGCAGACCAGACAGACCTGAATCAAAGTGATCTAATTATATAGGACCTGTATGTGTCCCAATTATAATTGGGTTGGGATTGGTTTTGGTTGTTCCAAATTCACACATAATTGTATATATAAAATCATGTGTATGTATATTGGCATATAAGAAAGATAACACCTCATCCCTAGTCTAATACCTATTTTCTCATGTTATAATTGTAATATTCTAAATCTGTCAATTTAACCAATAAGTAGGTTAAAAGTATAGCTGTCAATTATATTTGGGTCTTATCAGTTAGAGACCTGGTTGTCCTGATTACTTTTCAGCAAAGAAAAAAGATTGTACTGATTACAGACCCTATAAGGTCTACTTCAGAACTGGTTCTGCACATTTACTTGTTGAGTTGGAACAGGATCTACCCTGACAAGGACCCTATCCAACCCACTTATCAGTTAGAGACCTGGTTGTCCTGATTACTTTTCAGCAAAGAAAAAAGATTGTACTGATTACAGACCCTATAAGGTCTAGTTCAGAACTGGTTCTGCACATTTACTTGTTGAGTTGGAACAGGATCTACCCTGACAAGGACCCTATCCAACCCACTTACAGCACTACTTATTCCAATCGCCATGCAGTCACACAGTTGTCTTCTAGTTATTCACTATGAACAACTGAATGATCCGATAGCTCTATACTGGAGATATCCTGAATATTAAATACCAAACCATGTTTTGGTATTTTCTTCCCCCAAAGCAACCACACAATGCAAGTTGAATTACAGAAATAGATGTAGAAATAAACCTGTTTTACCCTTACCAGTCTCCAAAAGAACAAAAGGAAGAAAATTATGTGACAGATGAAGGGACAACTTGAATGATCTAATTTCTTGCACAAACTCAACAGGCATCAATCAAGTTTAAGATTGTTACTTCAACAAAGTGTATGAAAGAACACCAATAGTCTCTTCTTTTTCCTCTTTCCTCTGCATGTAAGAATGTCAAGATCTTTCCACCAAATATGCAACAGTACGAAGATAATTGATTGTTTTCATCTTTTTTTTTTCCTTTTTTTTTTTTTGTGTGTGTGTGTGGGAGAGGGGGGGGGGGGATGGAACATAAGAATTATAGGGGAGTAGTGGCAGTGAATGCAGGTTAAGAAGCAGTGGCAACCCCAAATAAGTCACTGGCAATGCATTCAGGGACGTTTAGATTCATCAGAAGTGAAATGTCGTGACACCATCCCTGTTAGGATTTGAAGACATCTGTGGCATTTGATTGTAATAGCCCCAAATCACACAATTTCTTATCTCTCCCCTTTACACGATTTGCAGTCTGAAATTCAAGTTTCTCAGACCTCCGAAGACCCAGCTCTCTCCCTTTATAGACCATGAACTATAGAATATGTGGACATGAGAATCCACCTGAATTTTGCAAAGTAGATACCAGCAATCTTTCTTTCAAGAAAATGTATCTAATTCGTTAAAAGCAACAAGAGGGGTGCATGAAATGATGTGCATCAAAGCCAACCAGGAGGAAAAAAATGTCTAGCCTCAGCAAGTAGTGAGCCAATCTCCACGGGCCACCATCCTTTTCCTCTAATCATTTTATTGTATTTGCTGAATCGCCTTCAATGGTTAAATGAGTTTATGCCCAAATCTCTTCTATGCTAAGCCCAGTCAGAGCAGCCAACACCTTGGCCATTGTAGAATCAACAGCCCAATCAGGGCACTAAAGGCCCAACAAATATTTCCATCCCTTTCTTGGATTAAACCTCCAATTCCTGCTGCGCCAGTGCTTACCTAAAGCACTTCCATCAAAACTCAATTTCTTCTCCAACTCTTCCTTTGTGATATAAACCCAGTGGGAGACAAGAGTCAAAGGTGAAGCATGCAGAAGCTCCACCACACTCCTATGCAACTCACTCACGAAACATCCTTTAAAGTCCACAGAATTAAGTGCCCACATGTTACACAAATAAGTAATATGAGAGATCAAGCCTTCCACGGATCCGGATTTATTTTCAATAATCTGGTTATTTCTTTCTTCCCACACTCTCACATTACCACATGAATAACAGTACACCAACATGTGTTTGTTTCCTCTCCTTCCAAGACTTTTAGCCTACCACTGCCAAAAAAAATCCAGAAGAAGCTTGGGAGCTACCCAACTGTAACCACAACTGCCCATGGGCTATCAGCAATGGAGTTCATCCAAACAGTACCATCTCAGAATCACCTTTTACCAATAGTTTATCATAGCTTAGGAAAAGGCAAATTTCAGACCCTAAAGTGAGTAGTTTGTAATCTTTCAACGAGTCCCTTCCAATTGGCCTGGAATAGACCAAGACAGGTTCCCTAGCAGCCCCCATAAAGCATCACCCACACCTAAGGAGCTCAGTGCCTATAAGTATCCAACAAAATTCAGTTTAAGCCTTCTATTTTAGAGGCCTTGTACTGTGATAAGATTCCTCCTTTGTAATTTTTAGGGGTCTGACCCCTGTTTGTTTTGTACACCTTGTGTACCCCCCCTCTCATTTTTCAATGAATTAAGTTAACTTTTCTCAAAAAACAAAAAAAGATTAGGATGTCAAGACATTATTTTAAATTATTTCCATGTGGTTAAAAATACACATATTAAGCATCTTTTTTTGAAGATAAAGCAATAAATTTTATTAAAACAAAAAAGAAGTACAAAGAAAGGTGATGAACAATCGCCCAAGGGAAATTAAAACCCAATGAACAATCAACTAAAATAAAACAAAACCCTGCCAAGTAAAACCCCACACAAGTCAGCCCCTTACAAAAGGAAACAAAAGCAATTTAAAACCAACAAAGATCCCGATCATCAAACAAGCAAACGACTCCCTTTCCAGCCCCAAGCACCCACAAACGCCACCCAACAAGAACCCAAATCAAAAGCCCAACCCACTAACGGACTCTTATTCATTTTCTTCTTGTTCAATTTTTGAATGCAATCTTCTTTTTTTTATTTTTGATCAATGAAAATGATTTTATTAAAAAAGAGAATATTAGTACAGAGAATGGGTAGCCTCGGCTACCCCAATGTCCAAAGACATTCCACCTAAAATTTGCTTTGTAGACTTACAACAGAGCCCAAAAACAATGTTCCCTGTTAGCCCCTTGCTTTGCTAGCTGATCTGCAAACCCATTTGCTGCTCTTGGAGTCCACTGAAATAATACCTGCATATCCTTTGTGGAGTGATTAATTTTCTTAATCTCATTTCTGAATACCCATGGAACCTTTCCATCCTGCCTCAGCCAGCTTATCACCACTTTGGAGTCACCTTCTACAACCAACTTCCTTACACCTATTTCCGAGGCCTTTTGTATACCGAAAACCAGAGCTTTTAGTTCAGCTGTAATGGAATCTCCCCACCCAATAGGGCCAGAAAACAGCCCCACTACATTGCCCCTGTCATCTCTAATGACCCCACCAATACCAGCCATGCCCGGGTTGCCAAAACTGCTCCCATCAAAGTTTAATTTGAGGAATCCCGCTTCAGGAGGATTCCAGCTTCTTACTACTTTCTTTTTAGCAGATGATGAGGAAGCTACAGCCCTCCAGTTCCTGATTATATCATTCACAGTAAAGTCTGAGAATGACTCCATCGATTTTACCCATGAAGTCACTTTTAACATAATCCCCTCTATCAGTAATTCCTTACACCTTTTCTTCCCTTCAAAAATCCTCAGATTTCTTTCCTCCCATAACATCYAAAGTACTGCTRCCYGTGTGCATCTCCATAAGGTTTTCCCCCTTCTCTTTGGCCACCTGAAAGTGGAGGCTTCAAACAAACTCCCCAGGCTCACTGGGGTCTCCCACCTGCAACCAAAGAGAGAAAAGAACCACTCCCATATGCTGCTAGTTACAGGACAGGAAACAAAAATATGAAGAGCAGTTTCACCATTAGATTCACACAAACAACACCAATTAGGTGAAAGGCACCAGCCAGGCCTCCTCCTCTACATCAGATCACAAGTGTTAATTGCACCATGGTAAACTTCCCAACAAAAGGCACCCACTTTAGGGGGAATAGGGCGACACCAGACTTCACAAAATGGAAAATGGACCCCAGGTTGAAAGAAGTCAAAGCTTTGAAGAAGGACGCACAACTGAACTCACCAAGGGGGTTCGGTATCCAAATTCTAGTGTCTTGCTTGGTAGAATCTATACAAATCCCATCAAGCAACTAAATAATAGCTGACACCAAATCCAACTCCGAGTCACACACATTTCTGCGGAGACCCAGGTTCCAAGCATACCCAGATAGTGAGGGAGAGGGGGGCAGGAAATCAGCAACCGGTTTTCCTTTAAAGCGGGACAGCAAAAACTGAAGGGAATAAAGTCTTTAAAGAAGAGTCACCCACCCAAACATTTTCCCAAATTTTGACTTTGTTACCTGAGTTGAGATCAAACCTAACATGATTGAGGAACAATGGGAGGAGTTTGTGAATCACTTTCCACGGTGAAGCACTGGAAACCCTATAAGACACCCCAGCATCCCAACCATTTTCAGAGAGCCCATGAATACTAGTCACAATTTTGTGCCACAGCCTATCTGTTTCTTGTGGGAACCTCCATAACCACTTTCCTAGTAGAGCCTCATTCTTTTCCTTCAACCTTCCTAACCCCAATCCTCCAAATTCTTTCCTCCTAGTTACAAGATCCCATCTTACTAAATGATCTTTCTTCTTCTCGCCCGGTTCCCACAAGAAATCCCTCATTATTCTCTCTAATTTCTTTCTCACAGCTTGAGGCAAACTAACCACCGAGAGGTAGTAAACTGGAAGGTTTGCTAGGGTAGACTTGATAAGAGTAATCCATCCCCCCAGAGAGATATAA